TATGCCTCTCCAGGCCATCACTGACCCATCACCAAAATGGTCATGCTGAACAATGTTACAGTCAGCGGAACATTCTCCACGGCTTCTCCAGACCCTTTCACATCTGTCATGTGCTCAGAGCGAACCTGCTGTCATCTAGGAAAATCACAGGCATCAGTGGTGGACCTGCCAATTCTGGTGGTCAATGGCAAATGCGAATCAAGCTCTATGGTGCCGGGCAGAGAGCACAGAGCCCACTAGAGGATTTAGGGCCGTCAGGCCACCCTCATGAAGTCTGTGTCTGATTGTTTGGTCAGCAGACTAGTGGCCTGCTGGAGGTCATTTTGTAGGGCTCTGGCAGGGCTCATCCTGTTCCTCCTTGCACAAAGGAGCAGATACCAGTCCTGCTGATGGATTAAGGACCTTCTACGGCCATGTCCAGCTCTCTTAGAGTAACTGCCTGTTTCCTGGAATCTCCTCCATGCTCTTGAGACTGTGCTGGGAGACACAGCAAACCTTCTGGCAATGGCACATATTGATGTGCCATCCTGGAGGAGTTGGACTGTCTGTGCAACCTTTGTAGGGTCCAGGTATCGCCTCATGCTACCAGCAGTGACACTGACCCTAGCCAAAGGCAAAACTAATGAAAAACAGTCAGAAAAGATGAGTAGGGAAAAAAATGTCAATGGCCTGCACCTGTAAGACCATTCCTTCCTCCAGGTTGCCATGCAAGCCTACTTTCTAACCCTCATCAATACCCTCTCCTCCAGCCCTCCCCGGCTCTTCTCCACCTTCAACTCTCTGCTCTCCCCCGCCCAAACCTCCACCCAGTACCTCACTCACCACTCACGAGATTGCTAACCACTTCGAAAGCAAGATCAACGCAATTCGCAGGGACATCACCACTGCTCAGACCTCCACCCTACCTAGCATCCCTCACACGAAAACCCCCCCAACACTCCTCTCCTTCGACCTCTCCACTGTGCAGACCTCCACCCCGCTATCCCCGCTTCAGTCTATCCAGACTCATCCACCTTACTAACTGCTCCATACCCGCCACCCCCCTCTGCCAATCACTCCACTGGCTTCCGATTGCCCAACGCATAAAATTCAAAATATTCAAAATATTAACATTGACATACAAAGCTGTTCATAACACTGCCCCAAACTACATCACCGACCTGATATCCATCTACCACCCAAAACGTACTCTCCGCTCCTCACAAGACCTCCTACTCTCCAGTTCCCTGGTCTCCTCCTCCCATGCCGTCTCCAGGACTTCCTCCATCCTCTGGAACTCACTACCCCAATCCATCAGACTGTCACCTACCCTCCTCACCTTTAGGCACACCCTGAAAACCCATCTCTTTAGAGAAGCCTACCCTGCCCTCACCTAATTGCTGATCTCCTCCACTCTTCCCACCAGTCCATCCTCCACAGCTATTTCCTCCTGTACCACTCTCCCCTCCCTCCTAGATTGTAAGCTCCAAGGAGCAGGGCCCTCGAACCCCTTGTGTATTATTGTATTGTTATTGTACTGTCTCATGTACTGTCTCCCATTATAATGTACAGCGCTGAGCAAACTGTTGGCGCTATATAAATACTGTATAATAATAATAATTCTAATTCCTGTTTTGGGGGTCATCTCATTGTTGCCCATCTAGTGCACCTGTTGTTAATTTCATTAACACCAAAGCAAATGAAACTGATTACCATCCCCCTCTGCTACTTCACTGACCAGATCAATATCCCAGGAGTTTTTTTGACTTGAGGCTATACTCTGATTAAAAAGACTTCCTTTAAATTTTTTCAGCAGTGTATAAACCACGTCCAGCATTATGAATGTGGTTTTCCTCAATTCCTGCAGCTGGTGTGTGTACCATTCCTGGTACCTCTCTGCCCCTCCGGTCCTTAACCCCATTGCGCTGGCCGCACACAAATGTGCGGCCTCCCGGCGTCTGGACCTAGACGCCGAGCAGCCGCACATTTGCGTTCATGTACCAAAAAACATATGTGCTAAGAGCGCGCTCCCAGCACACATGTGTGGTACTCACGGAAAGGTCCTGGTCCGCTCTTTCGATCGGGACCTTTCCTGATCATGTGACCGCCGTGATGACGCGTGACGGCGGTCACATGATTCCTAAACCACGCCCCACCCGCCCCGCCTCCCGGCGTCTGAAACGCTTAAAGGGCCGGGAGGCGCCGGCGGGAAGGGGTTAAATAATGGAACCCAGCCAAGATCCTTTCCTCCTAAGGGAGGAAGCTGGCCCTTTAAGACCACAGGTATGCTGCTATGGATAGGTACCAGGAAAGGAAAATTATGGAAAGGTAAGTATTCCATTTTCCAGTATATGTCCATTACCATTAGTGCACAGCTAGAAACGTTCCTAGTTGTGGACTGTCGTCAGTTTTTCAATTATCATGCAATGACATCCACAAGGCATCTGAACACGAACATCCTCGGCATTAATGGATTCAAAACACATTATTTGTAAAATACAGACATAAGTGGGTTATGTAAGCCGTAAGAGCATTGCCGCATAAAGCTGAGCTCAGTCCCACCAGCCTGCTATGGAGATATTCCCCTCCGCTGAAAACAGTTGTGTTATAATGAGAACATTTTTTTATTTCTCCTCCTAAACACTTAAAAAGTCATTAAACTCAAAACCTTTTTAAAAGTCTTTACACATAACATTTCATTGTATACATAATCCCCTAATCATTAGCACTTTGTTTGTTTTACAGCATAACAAAACTGGTTGATCCTCCTGGCCCTTTCCCTCTTGTCTGTGTCCCCGCTGCAGCTTCAGATCCTCTGGATCCCCCAATGTCACCTGTACTGCACATGCTGTGTTTTTAGTGACCAGGCAAGCTGTTTTCTTTTTTTCTACATCACAGTGTAGTCAGAGCTGTGCAGACATGGGAAGCTAGTTCAGACCAGGGGCGGACTGACCATTTGGAAACTCGGGCACTGCCCGAGGGCCTGGGGTCAGTAGGGGACCCCATGAGATGCCCCTGGTACCTTTTTCATAGGTTTTTTTTGAGTTTGGGCAAGGACACAGGGGCCCCATGATCCCCTATTGCCCAGGGGCCCCATGAGTTGTCAGTCCGCCCCTGGTTCAGACTATCCCTCTATGACGGATCTAGCATACAGTTGTGCACAAAAGTTTGCATCCCCTGGCAGAAGTTGCGAGATTTTGGCATTTAGATTGAAAATATGACTGTCTTTTATTTTGGGATAGTGATCATATGAAGCCATTTATATCAGATAACTGTCTCCTTTTTAACCACTTGGCAACCGCGGTATAGCTGAATGATGGCATCATATGATGTCCTCCCAGAACCTGCCCTCCCGCTAGCCCCCAGTGGCGCGCACCCGGCGATCACGTGATGTGGTAAAAGGCCAATCACAGCGGCCTTTTACCACGTGATTAGCTGTGTCCAATGACACAACAGATCACCGGTAAATGCAGTTGCCGGTTATTGGCTGCACTTTCCTCACGCTGTCACAGTGTGAGGAAAGTACTGCCAATAACCGGCAATTTTCAGAGTATAGATCGGCACTGATGATGAGTGCCACCAACCTATGCCAAGCAGTGCCCCCCATCAATGCTGCCCAGTAGTGCTGCCCATCAGTGCCCAGCAGTGCTGCCAGTCAGTGCCATCCATCAGTGCTGCCAGCAGTTTTGCCCATCAGTGCCTAGCCTTGCCACTAGTTAGTGCCATCAGTCAGTGCCACCCATCAGAGCCCTTCAGTGCTGCTTATCAGTGCCCATCATTGCTGCATATCACTGCAGCATCATCAGTGCCAGCTCATCAGTGCCACCTATCAGTGCTGCCTATCCGTGCCACCTCATCAGTACAGCCTATCAGTGCCCATCAGTACCGCCTATCAGTGCTGCTCATCAGTGCCACCTATCAGTGCCCATCATTGCTGCATATCAGTGCAGCATGATCAGTGCCGCCTCATCAGTGCTGCCTATCAGTGCTGCCTATCCGTGCCACCCCATCAGTACCACCCAGGGGCAGACTGACCATTTGGAAACTCGGGCACTGCCCGAGGGTCCGGGGTCAGTAGGGGGCCCCATGAGATGCCCCTGGTTTCTTTTTCATAGGCTTTTTGAGCTTGGGCAAGGACACAGGGGCCCCATGATCCCCTATTGCCCGGGGGCCCCATGAGTTGTCAGTCCACCCCTGGTACCACCTATCAGTGCCCATCAGTATTTATAATAGAAACAAAGAAAAACTTTTTTTTAAATGTTTTTGCTCTTTTTTTGTTTATAGTGCAAAAAATAAAACACCCAGCGATGATTAAATACCACCAAAAGAAAGCTCTATTTGTGTGAAAAAAAGGTAAAAATGTCATACGTGTACAATGTTGCATGACCGCGCAATTGTCATTCAAAGTGCCCAGCAGGCAAGTGGTTAAATCCTAATGATAACATAAATCACCCTATTGGCCCGTATCAAAAGTTTCCCTCCCCTGGAATGTCTGGCCTTGGTACAGACACACAAGGTGACACACACGGGTTCAAATGGCAATTGACCACTTACCTACCGGGCACTTATACCCCCTTCTTTACCAGGCCAATGTTCAGCTTTCAGCGCTGCCGCACTTTGATTGACAATTGCACAGTGATGCAAGATTGTACCCATATGAAATTTTTATCACTTTTTTCTCACAAATAGAGCTTTCTTTTGGTGGTATATAATCGTCACTGGATACTTTACTTTTTGCGCTTTAAACAAAAAAATGCAAAAAATTTGAAAAAAAAAGTTTCTTTGTTTCTATTATAAAATTTTTCAAACAAGTAATTTTTCTCCTTCACTGATGTGCGTTGATGAGGCAGCACTGATGGGCACCGATAGGCGGCACTGATGGGCACTGATAGGCAGCACTGAGGGGCACTGATAGGCAGCACTAATGAGGTGGCACGGATAGGTGGCACTGATAGGCAGCACTAATGAGGTGTCACGGATAGGTGGCACTGATAGGCAGCACTAATGAGGTGGCACGGATAGATGGCACTGATAGGCAGCACTAATGAGGTGTCACGGATAGGCGGCACTGATAGGTGGCACTGATGATGGGTACTGATAGACAGCACTGAAATGTGGCACTGACTGGCATCACTGCTGGGCACTGACTGGCGGCATTGCTGGGCACTGACTGGCTAAACTGCTGGGCACTCACTAGTGGCACTGACTGGCAGCACTGCTGGGCTGCACTGATGGGCACTGGTGGGTGGCATTGGTGGGTACAGGTGGGTGGCACTGGTGGGTGGGCACAGGTGGGTGGTACTGCTGGGCACAGGTGGGTGCACTGTTGGGCACAGGTGGGCGGAACTTGTGGTTGGCACTGCTGGGCACTGATCATCAGGGCACTGATCATCAGTGCCCTGATGATCGGTGCCGATCCCTGCACTAACAACTAACAACGATCTGACAGCATGAGCAAAGTGCAGCCGAGAACCGCCAATTGCATTTCCCGGTGATCAGCGTGTCATTGGACACAGCTGATCATGTGGTAAAAGACTGCTGTGATTGGCCTTTTACCACATCACGTGATCAGCTGTGTTCGTAGGACACAGTGATCACAGAGATCGCCGGGTGCGCGCCCCCGGGGGCGCGGCAGGAGAGTGCGTTCTGGGAGGACGTCATATGACGTCCACCCAGAACTGGACGGCCGCAGTGCAGCCATCATTCGGCTATCTGTGGTCGGCAAGTAGTTAAAGGTTAATTTCCCACATCTGTGAATTTTTAAATTGCAATTAGTATCTGTGTATAAATAGTAAATGAGTTTGTTAGCTCTCTATGAATGCACTGAGGAGGCTAGATACTGAGCCATGGGGAGCAGAAAAGAACTGTCAAAAGACCTGCGTAACAAGGTAATGGAACTTTATAAAGGCGGATATAAAAAGATATCTAAAGCCTTGAATATGCCAATCAGTACTGTTCAATCACTTATTAAGAAGGTGAAAGTTCGGGGTTCTCTTGATACCAACCCAAGGTCAAGTAGACCAAGAAAAATTGCAGCCACAATTGACAGAAGAATTGTTTCGGGATAAAAAGGAAAACCCAACAATCCTCCAAGAGGATGCAAACTTTTGAGCACAACTGTACATCAACTGACTAGCTAATCAATGCAGTAAATTGAAATTGTGGTGGAGTGTATTAGCAAGAGGTATCAGCCCGAACTGTACACAAACCAATCTTCCAGAAAACAAATGAGACTTTATATATACCCCCAGGAACAAAAATGTAAAAAAACACTCATCTTTATTTAAAGAGTATGTAAACCTAATATTTCATATTTCTGAGATGTGCCTGCTGTCAGGGGCGTCCCTAGCAGGGGCGGACTGACAACTCATGGGGCCCCCGGGCAATAGGGGATCATGGGGCCCCTGTGTCCTTGCCCAAACTCAAAAAAGCTTATGAAAAGGTACCAGGGGCATCTCATGGGGCCCCCTACTGACCCCGGGCAGTGCCCGAGTTTCCAAATGGTCAGTCCGCCCCTGGTCCCTAGGGTTGGTGTCACCCGGTGCGATAACACTTGGTGACACCCCCTACAACGATCCCCTCAGAATGGATCAGATCTGCGGATTGCTCCCCAACCCGCAGATCCGATCCATTCTGCGGGGATCGTCGGCTTGCTTTACAACTTACCTTTTCGTGGATTGGGTCCGGTGTCACCCCGTAGAGGTTGTATGTCAACGATCCCCGCAGGATGGTTCGCATCTGCGGATTGAGCATAATGGATTGGAGTCCGATCCATTATGCTCCCCAATCCGCAGATCCGATCCATTCTGCGGGGATCATCGGCATGCAACCTCTACGGGGTGACACCGGACCCAATCCACGAAAAGGTAAGTTGTAAAGCAAGCCGACGATCGCCGCAGAATGGATCGGATCTGCAGATTGGGGAGCATAATGGATCGGACTCTGATGCATTATGCTCAATCCGCAGATCCCATCCATCCTGCGGGCAGTGGTGTATTTAGTTTTTGTGCTGCCCTAGGCAAAACAAAAATCGTCTGCCCCCACGGACAACACAACTTCCCCTATCCCCCTCCCCCGGAGAGAGCCTGACATTGACCAATAACATCCCTTCCACTACCCCCCCTCCCCCGGAGATAGAAAGACGCTCATCTTCACTGCTCCGGAACGAGAATCAGGCTCTATATACACCATGAAGCAGCCTGCAGCCTCTCTCAGATCCCACCTGGTTCCCATGGTTCACGTGTCCCTTCTTTCATTCCTTCTTTCGGGGGGAGGTGCTGCCCCCCTAAAAAACACCGCCCTAGGCAAGTGCCTTGTTTGCCTTCTGGTAAATACGCCCCTGCCTGCGGGGATCGTCAGCTTGATTTACAACTTACCTTTTCATGGAAAGCGGGTACGGTGTCACCCCATGCGGTAGGTGTCCCCCGTTGTGGCGCACACCCCCTGCACCTGCCTAGGGCCGCCCCTGCTTGTTGTACCATGTACTTGTATGAAAAGGTCTCCGGTTCTCTTTGTACTGCTATGTTTGTGTAAAATCCTTGGTGTTCCTGCCAGTTCCTCTGCTTTCCAATTTAAAAAAAAAAAAAAAAAAACTGACCACACTAGGCACTAGAACGCAGTGTGGCTGTGCTGGGATCTCAGCCTACTCTCCTCCAATGATTCCCCCCCTGTACAGGCAGTCACTGGGAAGATCAGTGTGCTGCTGTTTCTTCTCCCCCAGTTCTTATGCAGCTCAGAATGTGATCACGAATAAAAAAGGAAAAAAAAGTATTTATAATGGTTTTTATATCTATAATGTTTTGCCTTTAGTTTTCTATTTTAATCTGAATGGATTGTTTTACAAGGTTCCCTTATATACGTTAACATTTCAGGACATCCATTGTCTTTAAACCTTCATACATGTACAAAGGAATTGATTAAAAACATCATAAATAGGGATTACAAGTAACAAAGGTAAGAAATAGGTGTGGTCTACGCATTTCGTGGAAATCACTGCTTCCCCAGGACCTTGTGCGTCTTTCATGGAGAAATTGGTACAAGCTGCTCCTCCTACTGATCTTTGATCTGACGGGCAGGGAAAGATCACGTGACCGAGGCTCAGCACACTGTGAAAAAAAGGTATTTAGAAGATTTATTTCTAAAACAAATAGGAGTATTGTATATAAACATATTTAGAACATTTATTAGAACTTAATCATTGTCACTTTAATATCACTTCAGCCCCTTCCAGTCCGGACACTTCCCCCCCCTTCCAGTCCAGACACTTTCACCCCCTTCCAGTCTGGACACTTTCCCCCCCCTTCCAGTCCGGACACTTTCACCCCCTTCCAGTCCGGACACTTTCACCCCCTTCCAGTCCGGACACTTTCACCCCCTTCCAGTCCGGACACTTTCCCCCTCTTCCAGTCCGGACACTTTCACCCCCTTCCAGTCCGGACACTTTCCCCCCCTTCCAGTCCAGACACTTTCACCCCCTCCAGTCCGGACACTTTCACCCCCTTCCAGTCCGGACACTTTCCCCCCCTTCCAGTCCGGACACTTTCCCCCCCCTTCCAGTCCGGACACTTTCCCCCTCTTCCAGTCCGGACACTTTCCCCCCCTTCCAGTCCGGACACTTTCACCCCCCCTTCCAGTCCGAACACTTTCCCCCTCTTCCAGTCCGGACACTTTCACCCCCTTCCAGTCTGGACACTTTCACCCCCTTCCAGTCCGGACACTTTCCCCCTCTTCCAGTCTGGACACTTTCACCCCCCTTCCAGTCCGGACACTTTCACCCCCTTCCAGTCCGGACACTTTCCCCCCTTCCAGTCCGGACACTTTCCCCCCCCCTTCCAGTCCGGACACTTTCCCCCCCTTCCAGTCCGGACACTTTCCCCCCTTTCCAGTCCGGACACTTTCCCCCCCTTCCAGTCTGGACACTTTCCCCCCCTTCCAGTCCGGACACTTTCCCCTCTTCCAGTCCGGACACTTTCACCCCCTTCCAGTTCGGACACTTTCCTCCCTTTCCAGTCCGGACACTTTCACCCCCTTCCAGTCCGGACACTTTCCCCCCCTTCCAGTCCGGACACTTCCCCCCCCTTCCAGTCCGGACACTTTCCCCCCCCCCTTCCAGTCCGGACACTTTCACCCCCTTCCAGTCCGGACACTTTCACCCCCTTCCAGTTCGGACACTTTCACCTCCTTTCAGTACGGACACTTTCACCCCCTTCCAGTCCGGACACTTTCACCCCCTTCCAGTCCGGACACTTTCACCCCCTTCCAGTCCAGACACTTTCCCCCCCTTCCTGTCCAGGCCAATTTTCAGCTTTCAGCGCTGTCACACTTTGAATGACAGTTGCGCGGTCATGCAACACTGTACCCATATTAATTTTTTAGCAGTTTTGGGACAGATAAAACTTTATTTTGGTGGTATCACCGCTGGGATTTTTATTTTTTTTGCTATATAAATGAAAAAGTCCACACATTTTGAACAAAAAGTGTTTTTTCTTATAACATTTTGCAAATAAATAATCTTTCTTCATAAATCTTGGCCAAAATGTATTCAGCTACCAATTTAGTAAAAAAAAAACAAAAAAACAATTAATTAATTTATAACCAAAAATTATAATTTTTCCAAAAAATTTTTTACATTTGTATTTTATTTTTTAATCATATTTTTCTTTAACATACTGTTGCCCTAGCAGTACAGTGTCACCATAGTGACACTGTACTACTTGTGGGGGGCTGATAAAGATTTTTTTTTTCAACACTGATCGCTTTACATTCATAAAGGCTGGAAAAGCAATCATTTCTCTTTCTCTCTGGCTGCATTCCTGCAGCCATTGAGGAATACTGTGAGAGCTGTGATTGGTCACAGCTTGTCACATGGTACAAGGCTGTTGTGAATAGCCCTGTACCATGTGATCTCTGTGATCATTCACAGATTTCACTAGTAGTAAGCAATGATGTCAGAAGTGACATCTTGATTACTACTGTTCATATGATCACTGATTGGCCAATCATGATCACTTAATCGGGACCTCGCACAGAGGTCCCGTCCAACGATCGGTGTTCTGCTGTGTCCGGAGGAGCACACACAGGCAGGGAATGTGAGAGGATGTTTATAAATGGCCACCCACTCCTGCACTGCCCCCGTTTTTTTCCAGCAAGAACTCATCTATGTGGTCTTTTATTAAACTCTCCAGTATCTTCCCAACTATAGAAGTTAAACTAACAGGTCTGTAATTACTTGGGAAAGATTTTGACCCCTTTTTAAATATTGGCACCACATTGGCCTTACGCCAATCCAGTGGTACTATGCCAGTCATTACAGAGTCCCTACAAATTAGAAACAATGGCTTTGAAATGACAGAGCTCAATTCTTTAAAGCCCCGT